CAACATTTTTCTTTACTTAAATGATCTATATTCAGAGATTTGTATAACCTGACTAACCTACATTTCTCCAGTTTACAAATATCGTGACCAAAAATATATTGCAATTGAAGGCTTCAGCCACTCCTTGATTGGAACAAAATCAGCCATACTGCTGCTTCTATGGCTGGTGAAATAGTTTACATAGTTCTCTGTAGATACTCACTTTCTGCCCCTAAATAACTAACAATTGGAGTTACTTTGCTTATATTGGTGCTTAAAGATTTGGCTGGTCAACTATTTAGTGATATTGTCCAATATTAAAAATTGATTTCTTGTAACCAGATACAAGAAAATTGTAATTTTTTTCAAATCTATTTTCATCTCTTGATCTCTTTCTCTCTCTCATACATTGAGCTACAAAACACAAATATATTAAACATGGTGTGAACAAAAAATGCCTTCAAAATATTTAAATGTTGGTCTGATAGATAATGTCTTCTATTTTACACTAACATGCCAAAACTAGAATTTATTGTAATTTAAAAAAAATTCTTTTCATGGTCATTTTCTCAGCCATAAAACACCTAGTGTCATACAAAATGCATCTCTTATTTAACTATGAATGTTGATGGGAAAAAATATCCAGTTGATATTTATCCATACTTATATAGCAATATTTTAATATTATTTTGTTTTGTAATCATAATTTAATCATAGTCATATAATTCTAGTCATCAGGTAACTAGTATGTCAGACAGGGGTGTTAATGTGTTAGTACAGTAGTAACCTGACTTTCATGTTAGATAATTGATCCATATCCATTTTTGGATCCATCCATCCCCAATCCATCCAATCCATTTCCATCCCCATCACTCGTGGATGAATCCCCAGTGTCCTTCTTCTGTTGCACTTCTCGCTTATGGAACTTTCTTCCAGGTTGTTACTTCCTAGTTTGACCTTTTGATCTTCAAAAATTTAAATGCAATATCAATCATTATCTTCTGTTCTTTTATTCTTTTCTCACCCTAATAATGTTTTCTTTTTTTCTCATATTTGCTCAAACTCAGTAACTCCTTATATCTTAGTGAATTTATTACATGGACATGGGCAGTGAAACAAGTACAGTCTATCATCATAGATAAAATAAAGGTTTCACTTCAGAATTTCATGTAAGTTACACTCAGTTCAGAATTCCTTTTAAGTTACTTTTATCCTTGCATCTTAGTGGCTTTATTACCTTGCTTGGGTGTGAAATAAAAAAACCGAAAAAACAAACAAAATGAAACCAGCAGTTGGCAAACAATTATCCCAGATGTAGTAAAATCAAAATTTCTGGAAGTAATGAAAGGGTGACCAGAATTTATCTGGACATATCTAAAATGTTTGACTGCTATAACAAATCCAAAAGTATTTGTTTTTAAATTATTTTTTGAGAGGAAAAAATGGCCAATCTAGTAGTATGCTTAAATTGCTGCAGAACAATTGCCATGGAAATATTGGTAAAAAAGACAGAAGGAAGCCATGTGAGAAAGTGACTGAAGTCAAGATAACAGGTCTCTGTCTTCTATGTCATTTGTTCTACTGAGCTCTCCTCTTTGGTATCTTGACCACATGAATTTAAGCATAGTACTAGTGGGTATGTAGGTGGTGTAATGGATAACAGCTGGGAAATGAGAAATTGGAGAGCAGAGTTCAAATTCAATTGATTCATTACATTCACTTATGTACAAATACCCTTTGGAAAGGTATGAATCCATCCTTCTTCCCCAGCTATGGGTTGAATAGCAGGAAAAACTGGATCTCATTACCTTTGTTGCCAACCAGTCTACTGCAAAAAAAAACAGCAAACTACTGCAGGTAAAATCTTCTGCCTAGTCAGTCATGAATCTAAAGTTACATGCTTAGATGTGGCACGAGGCCAAAAGCATGGGAGCACCCAGTGAGGATCGAATTCACTAGTCAGTCGTAACTGTTCTAGTGAGACAAGTTTGCTATCATACCACGTCAAGGTTACCTATGATTTTATAAGCGTGTGTCTAGATGTGGCACAAGGCCTATTCAGTCATGAATCTAAAGAGACATGCTGATTTCAAAGCGCAGTTTAGATGTGGCACAAGGCCAAAAGCATGAGAGCACTCAGTGAGGATCAAACTCAATACTCAACTGTAATTGATCTAGCGAAACAAGCTTGCTAACCATTACCCCACATTGAAGTTCTCAAATCAAAAGAGATATGATCAACCAAATGTGTATTGCATATGGCACTTAACTTTCTGACTAGTAAATTGGTAACTAAGTCTCATTGTTTTACTGGCTAAATGTAACTGTAAGTTCTATTCTAATAGATTTTTTTTATTGCATGAAGAAATCTTTTCTGGTTTCTTGCTCTTCTATGATCTACAATCTTCAAAAAATTTAAGTGCAATATAAGTCACCATCTTCTGTCTTCTTGAATCCTGTTCTTTTATTGTCCTCACTAACCCCTTTCTCATTTCTTTCATTCCCAGTAACCCTCTTGCATCTTAGTGGCATTATCTCCTTCCATGGGCTAAAATGATTAAAAGAAATTACACAAATGTGCGTAAAGGAATATTTGAGGTTGTTTGCCTCATCTGCCGATGTAGTAAAACTAGCCATAAAATTTAACAACTTTTATTTATTTACAGAGGCACAGTGGAGGGATGGATAGTGGTTCAAATTGAGGAATCAGAGAACCAAATTCAAATTCCAGTCAAGTTCATTACATTCCACTTAATTAATAATACCCTTGGGAAAGGTATAAATACATCTCTCCCTCCCAGCTATGTGTAAATAGCAGGACAGATTAGACCCTATAGCCTTGGTTGGTAACCAGTCTGAATTCAAACCACCATTTGCCGCTTTGTAGGTCATGACTCTTTAACTTTGAAAGGAGGGACAGGGTAACTTCAACATCCCCAGTGCAAAAGAACTGGCAAGCCATTGCACTATTCTGCCTTGAATATCACCCATGAACCACATTTATGAGACAGAGGGAGTGGTGACCACAGCAGTACAAAAAATGCACAAAATGATTTATTTACAGTAAGCAAAATTTTTTTCGCCAGTGTTTAAATAAAACACATCCTGAAATTCAAGTTAGTTTTTCCACCCTGGATCTGTGATGACATATTCAAGCAAACAGGCCTGAACAAGTTCTCTAAGGACAACACAATCAGTAGATGATTAAGAGATTTTCCTCGTGCCATATGACATTTGCTTTTTGGGAGTGCAAAGTAAATATCGCAACAGAAAGATAAAAGAAGAGAATTTTTATTTTAAAATTAGTTGTTTATAATTGCCAAGCTGAACACCCAAAATTAAATTAATGACAAGAATGTATCAGTCTTTGAATAAGAAAATTTAACTAAAATTAAAAAAAAAATTCCTTGTTTACAGATCGCAACATCAATAAGAGATGAAATTTAAATTTTTACTATTGCATTATTCCAAAATTTTAACACATCAGCAGATAGTTATTAATGTCAACAACTGAGCACAAACAGTTATTAATTAAAAAAATTAGTAATTAATGTATAATATTATCCATAACTACATGTACAATAATGTCACTTTTGATAAAAGTTAAAAAATAACTATAAATAGGTAAAAAAATGTGTATATTGTTGAAAATTTTTTTTTTCCACAATATAGCTATTTGTGCTATCTTATAATGCTTATTACCTAAACAATAATAATACTAAATAATTTTTTTTTAACATTAAAGTATATTTAATCACACTGCCCTAATAGCTGTTGCAATCTCTTAATGTATTTTTTCAAACTTGTATTAATGAAGGACTGCTGCTTGAAGATATATATTATATATCTCCATTGTCCAAATTTCTCTTTGTTTATATCTCTTTCTCTATGTGCAACATCCCTTCAGAACGTAGACGATCATGGCTCTCCACAACTTCCTATCCCTTGTGGTTCTTAGCAGTTTTTCTCCTTTGGCTAAATCTTCCACTCCTCATTTTACCATCCATTCACACAAGCTAATCAAGAAAGACAATTCATACTCCTCCTCAGTCTTTTGAACAGGAGTAGAGAGATTTATCTTGTGTTTCCCATTTAGGATTGGGTTTCTGATTCATTCTAAAGTCTATTTCAACTCTATACTTCTAATGTCTCTGCCTAAACACTATAATTTATACTATTAATGGTTCTTTCTAAAGTCTTTTCCTGCCTTGCTTCTTAGAGGCATGATTGCCTTGTTTGGGGTGAATTGATTTAAAAAAAGAAGGGTTTAGCTACATGGTTTCTTTAAACTGATTAAATACAAAATAACCTAGCCAAGATAACATGACAGTAGATGGTAAATCTGTAGCAAACTTAGTTACAACCTTGCTTTTACTTGATTGTTAAAATCCTGAACATTTCTGTATCTACGGAGTAGAAATAAAAAAAGTTAACCCAGCCATAGAAATTTGTAAGGGGATTACGAGAACAAAGAGAAAGATTTACAGACCAAACAAAATGCTCAATTGCTACATTTTGAACAGATAAGCAAAAGTTAGAAGGGTTTTAAGAAATAATATAAAAAAAAATATCAAATTAAAAAGAAAATTACACTATTTACATTGTGTTGGACTGTTGTCCTCATTTTTACTGTCACATTCACAATGTGAACGTTCTGAAGGTTTTGGTTGTTACTATAGGAATGCATAGTAAATGAGGAAAAAAAGGAATAGTCAGTGGTCAGGAATTAATGTTAGTATTAATGATAGAATAGGGCTATTATATGTATTATTATTATTATTATTTTGTAACAGTGTTTTACTATAAGAATGTATTGCAAATAAGGAAGGAAACGATTGTTGGTAGATGCAGTTGACTATTCTTTTTAACTGTAATCATCTACATATAAAATAATGGAAGCATGATTAATAAAAAAAAAAAAAATCCAGCACTCAATAACATCAGCCGTGAACACAGCAATAATGAATATGCTGACTGTGTTTGGAAAAAAATCCATACATTCACTTAAAATAAGAGTAAAATCATTGAAGTGTGTGTGTGTGTGTGTGTGTGGGGAAAGGAAAGAGAGAGAGAAAGGAGAGAGAGGGAGGAAGAGAGAAAAGGAAGGGGAGAGAAAAAGGAGGGGGAGGGAGAAAAGGGAGGATAGAGAGAGAAAGAGAGAGAGAAAAGGGAGGATAGAGAGAGAGAAAAGGGAGGGTAGAGAAGGAGAGAGAGGAGGACAGAGAGAGAGAGAGAGAGGAGGACAGAGAGAGGAGGAGAGAGGGAGAGAAAAGGAGGAGAGAGAGAGGAGAGAGAAAAGATAGTCCAGAGAGAGATTGAGAGAGAAAGAGAGAAAGAGAAGAGAGAGAGAGAGAGAGGAGAGAAAAGGAGAAGAGACAGAGAGAAGGAGAGTAAAAGGAGAAGAGAGAGAGAAGGAGAGTAAAAGGAGAAGAGAAAGAAAGAGAGAGAGAGAGAGAGAAAAGGAGAAGAGAGAGAAGGAGAGAGAGGAGAGAAAAAAGGAGAGAGAGAAGGAAGGAGAGAGGAAAGGAGGAGAGAGAGAAAGGGAGAAGAGAGAGAGAGAAAAAGGGGGAGAGAGAGAGAGAAAAAGGGGAGGAGAGAGAGAGAGAGAAGAGGAGAGAGAGAGAAAGGGAGGAGAGAGAGAGAGAAAAGGTAGAGAGAGAGAGAGAAAAGGAGAGAGAGAGAGAGAGAAAAGGAGGAGAGAAAGAGAGAGAGAGAAAGGAGGAGAGAGAGACACAGAGAGAGAGACTGCTGAAACTTTCAACCTAAGCCACTTTTTCAGAAATCTGTCCAAATGAGCAGACCTCAAATTTTTAATGGCTTTTTATGTTGATAACTTTTCGTTATGCCCTCATTATACACAGGAACACAAATGTTAAATGAAATCAAGAAATGTCAGAAAAAGAGTCTTTCATTTGAATCCTTTTAGTGGCCTGGGTCAAGCAGGTGGTAGACTTTGCATACCAGATGCATACAACACCTGAGTTGTTAGCTGACAGGCATTCAAACTTAGTCAAAAAAAGTATATCCACAAAGACGTCTTAACCATTAAAAGCCACAAAGAAGCCAATGCTCATCTTGAACTCTCAGCAGGTCCTCATTTCATTTAGCTTTCAAAAAAGCAAATAATATGCAAACCTTTCTTCTCTTTTTAAATAATAAAATCTATAAAATGGGTGAGCCATGGCTTGAGAAATTGAAAAAAAAAAAAAAAAAAAAAACTTAACATGTGAGGATTAATAATAGATACTGGTCACATTGATATAAATTAGTTAGTTTGTAAACTGCATGAATTTAAATGTGCTACTAGGCTGGCATCTCAGTCCTACCCTTTCACTGTTGAAACGGTTAAATGTTGCTCTCTTCTACTCCAATAGCTTCATGTCTCACACCTCCGTCCTATTGTTTCCCTGGTAGCTATAAAATATCCAACTATTCAAATGTAATGTCAATCGACATGATGCCTTGATCTATTCCCTGTACTTCTCTTCATCCTTTCTCTATCTCACCACTTCTCTCTTGCTCTCACTTTCTGTAACCCATTGTAACTAGTGGCACCCTGCCGTTTAGGGTGAAATGCTTAAAAAAAAAAAAAAAAAAAACTAAGTGACAAAAGACAAGAAAATTAGTCCACAGAAAAATCATCTTGAATACTTCTATTGAAATTTTGTGAAAAAGTACATAATGAAATAAAAAAGATGGAAGTTTTCTATTATCTGATATGAAATTATAGCTCTTTTTATCAATGTCATAAATAGCAGGAACTTGTCTTATCTGTATACCAATTGCTTTAATATGACATTGTGTTTATCTGCTATATTTAATTTTTATTCAATAAAGCAATGTTGAATATTAATTCTTTTAGTAGCATTTCTTTCATTTTAATTCTAGATGCTTTATTTACATGGGTAGTAAAAATTGCAGAGCCCCAAAACTCAGATCCGAAGACTAACTGAAGTCTTCCTTCCTTCAAGCCGAAATCAGCCCTAATACCTGGGAAACAGGAGCTGCCAACTGTCCATCTTGGCAAAGAGAAATTCATTTTGTTTGTTCCACTTTTGAGAAGAGGACAAAAGACAAAAAAAGGAAAAAAATGAAGGAAAGGCAAGGCCTGGGGCAGCAACCCCAGCCAAGACCATCATCTGCCTTATCATGCATCAATGACCAAGATTGTTCTATTCCTGATTTGGCCTCCTGAGCCATGTTAGGGTCAAGCATTGTGGAGGAACTGAATGAACCAAACTCTGACATGAGTGGTGCTGACAAGGAATAATAGAAATAATGTTATCTGGAATCATTTTATAATTCTGATTATTCCTTAATTAATTAGTCTATTAGTATGTATGTGGTGCCTTATCAATACCTCATAAATAATGGACTATTCAGTTTTGATTGCAAGGAAATACAGAAAAAATACATATCAGTAATGCTGCTTGATTTCAGAATAAGAAAGAAAAAAAAGTTTGTCAATACCTCATAATGAACTATTCCATTTTCATTATGAGGAAAGATTGAAGAAAAAAACAGAGATGCTGAAAGAGAGAGAGGCCCTGCTAATACCTCATAAATAATGAATTATTCTGGTTTGGTTACAAGGAAAGATGGAAAAAGACATATAAGAGACACTGTTCGATTTCAGAAAAGAAATAGAAAGAAAGAAAAAAGCCCTATCAATACCTAATAATAGATAATTCATATAAACTAGATGAAGCAGTGAAAGATCCATGGATGCTGGCAACCAAGATTATCCATTATCTTATATACGGATTCTTTTCTTTCACTTTATTGGTATCTTCTTATTTGATCCCTTTATCCCTTCCAATCTTTTGTTGCCCATCCAAAAATTTTATATAAATCTTATATAAATAGGGATTATTTTCATATGCAAAAAAGAAATAAAAGATGCATAAATATTTTTTTTCCCTGCAATCTATCTTTTATCTTTCTTTTATTCTATCTTTTTATAAAGAATGTTAATGAATCTCAATGTTTATTTTTTCTGTACTTAAATCAGTTGATAAATCCGTCTATCTCTTGATATCCAACCAGCATTCTTGTCTTTCTATTTACTCCATCCTTTTCCCATTCTTTCTTTAAATTTTTCCTTTCACCTGGTTTCCTTTTCATTTTCTCTAAGTCTCTTTTCTTTCTACATTTTCCTTCATACAGTCTTCTCCACTTAATTTTCTCTATTTAAAGTTTTGGTGCTTTTTTTTTTAGAAAGAATAATGATGCCAATTCACATTGACCAGGGCTGAATAGACACTACACTGTGATTCTGTGTAGAAAAACATGTCAGAGATATAAATAGAAAAATAACATAGAGTCCTGTATTTGGTAAAACATTATTATTGTGTACATAATTTTTTTTCATTTTTAGTTTAAAACTTTGAAGTGAAAGTTTTTGATCCACAATCCTTTAAAGTCTGTGGTGAAATAATTTATTACATGGAACCTTAAAGTGGTCTGTTTTTTTTCTTAAATTATTTACTCTGGATTTATATTGAAAAATATTTTATTCTCCATGGGTTTACCCATACGGATTAAAATAGTTTTTTAAAATATTTATATATATCACCACAAGGATAATTATAATGTTTGCCATAAACGTCCACTTCAAAGAAACCTTAATTCTTTGACTTTGGAAAAATGTTAAACAAAAGCACATCAAGATGTATCAGATTTTTTACACAATTTATATTAACCAACCAATGTTGATAAAATTTTCAGGATATATATTTATATGAACAATATAATGGTGTGAGTTTCAAAAGGATATTATCTAGCATTTTTTTAAAAAATTGATAATAACTTTCCCATAATGTCAATTCTGTTATTCAAATTGCCACATAAATTTTTGGGATTTATAAATAAATCTAAAAGATATAAGCTAAAGAAACGTGTTTGATTAACCAATCTACTATATACCTTAAAATTATTCTTCATATTTGCTCCTTTGACATTCTAGAACTTTCCTCAATCTTTCTCTCATTGATTTTAACTTTTTAAATAATGAAATGTTTTTATTGCTTCCCAGATAATTTCTTCTCTATTTTCATTTTTAATTAATGATGAACCAAAATATTTTCTATTGGATTAATATCTAGAGAATTGAGGGTCATTCTATTTTTTTGAAACCTTTTTTTGGGCAAGATGTGCAATAGTCAATTTTGCAGAATTAGCTTAAAATTTCTTTGTTTGTAACCTATAATTCTCAAAAAAATTTTATCCAAAACCTGCATTTATCTTGAAACCATTCTTTTTTGTGATGTCAACAAACATGGTCACTTTTGTAATGTCAACAAATACTTGTCACTTTCATAATGCTCATTGTAGTAGAAACTTTGTAATCACAGGTAAAGCTATAGTAATGCCGTTTGAACAATACTTGTCAGACACCTTCAAATAACACTTTTTAATAGTACTTGCTTGATAATACTTTCGCTCAAATAGTAACTGCCTAATAGTAATCTGTATACTGATCTATATAGATATATAGGATAGATTACAAAAGAGTGATCAATGATAGAGGATAAAATAGAAATGGGGATCAATTAGATGCCATGCTAATTTCCATATATACATTTCCTTTACCATCATGTGATCTACTTATTTCAAATGGGATCGCCAGTGAGCAAACATTTTATATATTATATATGTTCAAGTTACTTGAAAATTACTTGGATCTTCTGTAAAGAAAACATGGATATGCTATTCTCCCAAGTGCCAGTATAAAATAATTTCCAAAATAGAATATAGATTAGATTAACTAATCTATCACAGGCAGGATTTATTAAACAAATATATCAACACTTCTGTTCTCTTTAGTGATTAAGGGCTTGTGTGATCACCAAAGTTAAACAACATTGAGCTTGGTCATGGATTAGGAATTAATGCAAATCATTGATAACAATACAAATATTGTTTAATTTTATTTGTGGCCTTGTTATATATATAAATAAAGACACAAGAAAATAATTGAGTTAAACAAATATATTAAATAAACAGTAATACAAACAAGAATGTTTGTTACAGCAAGAATGTTCAGGTTCAACTGTCAGAGCTGACTGTTGGAAACTTCCCTCTCTAAAAAGGCAGTACCTGCTCCTATTTATAAAAGGGAATGTCTATGTGTGTGTGGGTAAATTACCATAACAATATTATATTTTTTATTTTACTATGAGTTTGTTATATATATATATATATATATATATATATATTTAGTTGTTGTTTTTTTATATGTCCTGAAGGGTAAAAATATATAGGGAAAAGTTCAAAATGCAACTGGAGTCTTTAAGAAAATGTATTTAGAGTAAAATTTAAAGTTTCACAATGCTTTGATTTTCAAAAGTTAAATGTGAGATGGAGAAACTGTGCCATGAAAGTTTTTTTTGAAAATCATAGAACTGTGAATCTACCCATAATTATTACCCTAAAATTATGGAAAAAAATCACTTTACCATTTAAACATTAGTTTATATATTAATAACAAAGCACAGGCATACGTGTTTTGTGTGGGGCCTGTTTATATACATATAATATGTATGTAAACATATGAATATAAGCATATGCATACAAATTCAAATAATAAAATTTAATTATAAACCTAACCTCCTACAATTAATACCCTAATAGTACCAAAGATACCACTAAACTAGATAAGAAAATGAAATAATGGCCAAATGAATATGTATATAAATATTTACTTTATTATTTAATCATTAAGATTAATTATTTATGTAAGATAATGAAATACAATTTTCCTAACTCAAGAAAACACTAGAATGCTCAAGAATTTACAATGACTCTATATGTCTAAAAAACAGAAGTCAGAATGGCAACAACTGAAAAAGAAAAGAGGAAAAAGAGAAGGAAAGTTAAGAAGTAAATGTAAAGTGAAAAAAAAAAAGAAAAGGATAATCACAACATTCTACACATATGGACACATGCAAATGCACACATGCTCACATACACTATGGAAAAACAATATGCACCAAAAGAAAAGTGCATATAAAAAGAAAAATCAAGAAACTCTGGTATTGGAATACTGAAGGTAACAATCATCTAAGTGATAAACCTTTTATTTGTATTAATTATATATATATATATATATATATATATATATAGAGAGAGAGAGAGAGAATTGTAATTGATTTTACTATTGAAAATCAGATTGTCAGTGATCAGGAGTTAATTGAAAGACAGTTATGTGTATTATACATAAATGCATTGTGAATATTTTTACATTGTTAATATCAGAAATGAATGCAAACATTACTGACAACATAAGATTATTATATTTCTAATGGTTGACTATTATTGATGTCTAATATTTTCATCAGTTTGTTTCACAAAGGAAAATCTCTCTTCTCAAATGAACTTGACTACTGAAAACGGGGTTAAATTGTTAGTTATTGTACCGTGTCATTCAGTTCACATTGAATGAAGAATTCAAGAAGTGAGATTAAATAAACAAGAGACAAAATTGTTATTATTTTTTTTTTTTCTCCTTCTAAAAGATTTAATTCTTTTGCAGGGCCCTTTCTAATAGTGATACTGAGAGTTGTCCTTCTCTCGACTCTCCTGGTAAGTTACTTTGTTATTACTCTCTAAAATTGTTTCAGTCTTCAAAGATTTTTTTGTGAAAATCTCATCTTACACTTGGGATTCAATTTCAGATTTTTATTGAATCAAATTTAGATTTATTCTTTATTAGGATATCTGTTTAGTGTTTTCAAAAAAGTTTTTTTTTTCAAGATTCTTTAAAAAACTTAATTTGTTAATTTATCCTATAAAATAGAATTGAAAATGTTTGTATCAACAATTGATATATTCTAAAAACATTTTCCTGTTCATTTAGCTGAAATTGAATAGGAAAGTTTTTATTTTGTATGTAATAAACATATTCAGATGGAAAGAAATCAAATTTGAAAGCGAAATTTTAATAATTTTGAAAGCATTTTAAAAAAAAAAAAGATGACCTTTACTGAACAAATATCAAGTTTTAAATTTAATGTAACAAAAAATTCTATGAACATTTTATTATAAAATAAATTTAAGTTAAATTTATTTTTTTATTAAAAAAATTATCTTTTTTCAACCCAAACCATACAAATATACATAGCCATGTTTTTTAGTTGAAGCACAACCAGGAGTAATCTTGCACAAAGCAAAGTGGGTCCTACCTGAGAGAGGATTTGTCATACTAATTTGAAGCA